GCTAATATATATATATATATATATATATATGTGTATATATATATATATATGTGTGTGTGTGTGTGTATATATATATATATATATAGCGACATTTATAATTGCATATAAAAAATGTACGCTGATGCATTTACAAATATATATTCAAAATCGTTATTCATTAATACATTTTGCCGAACACCGGTATATCGATGTCACTTGTTGTTGTGTTGTATCTGTTGCGAATGACTTAGCAGCAACAGCTTATCTAAGAAGTTTCGTTCATAGTTTGTATAATACATGATATTATATATAATCATAATTATATAGTTTACAGTTTCCACTATTCTGCGATTCACTTCCCTTTTTTTATCAACCGCCAAAAATATATGCCGCATTTATGTTATAAATTAGTGGAAGAGGAACGCGCCCGAACACTTACATTTTCTCTTTTAATTAACACGATAAACAAGTTTAAATACACTGGGCAACAAGTAACATCTGCTCCGTACACCATTCAGTGAGCCAACTAACATACATATGATCATATAATACATTAGTATGATACAACATGATACAATACGGTTTGCACTGAATAACTTGGCAATCGACATTTTGCCTTCTCATGCAACTCGTGAGAAGTAACAACATAGTTTGTAATAGTTACAAGGTGACAAAAGAAATATATATATATGTATATATATATTTTTTTCTTTCCTCTTCTTTCTATACTTCTGTCTATACAGATTTTACAACTCGATTCCGTCAACACGTTAGCATTTTGCCAAGAAGTCTTCAAAGAATAAAGCTTTGACGTTTCAATCAAGATAGAAAGAAACGTAATGCTAAAGAATCATCCGGCAAGAACCATCCACCGATATCCTACAAAACTTTTAAGTACAATATTAACAAAAGACAAGAAATAATTGAAAAAGTTTGTGGTAACAACACACCAAGATACGACACCAATTTAAACGAATAGAAAATATTGCAATGCGAACTGGACTATGAATCTTTCACGCAATTCAACGTGTCGTCGATCCGAGCCGCCCTTCCATTTATGTCCTAATGGCGAGTATCGATTTTGTGTGGAAGTAAGAAACTAGTAGTTTAACATTGTCAATATAATAGATTACGGTTTACGTTAAAAGTAAAGAATTTTGTTAAATGTTCTGCATTTTTTTTTTTGTGAGACCGAAATGCCTCTTTCTCCTTTTTCATTTCCGTTGACGCGTCGAGTATTATCGCGAGCTCGTGCTTCGTAAAACAATTGTACGAAAGCCACTAGCGTATGTTATCGTGGCACTAGTCTTGATAATATTTTGCTAGACCTCCGCACCCAGGTCCCGCACGCCTTGCTCGGCTATCGGCACGTATTTGTCATCTATCTTCACAAGTAGAATAACTTTGTCAACGTGCGATCGTCGATTGGGATCGCGATGATTCGGCGACCAACGATGGACCACACAGCCTTCCATACCTCTTTCCGGCACCCAGTGCTGCCAGCCAGAACGGCCACCTTGCTGTCTCATCCTTTCATCTGGCCAGATTACGTCTATACGCCGACCTAGGTTGATCGCGTCGTACACCTGATTGGGATCCATGATCTATGATCGAGAGGAGACCATCTCGTTTATAACTCGAATTGATTCAACACGATGAAGAGATAATTTCCTTTATATAATTCAGCGATGAGCCGGATCGCAATATTGACTAGAATCAAGGCTTCTGTATTCAATTCGCTACAGTATTGACTAACTTTTCAATTCGTTTTGCAATTATGAAGACGATTGGTCACGATACTTACACAGACCCTCTGAAAAACCTCCTCTTTCTCCAATTTATTGGAGAAACTCGTCTCGCTCTTTGTTTCCGTTTTAATGTCACTGTTACTGAGTAGTCCGGCCAAACTAGCGAGCGTAGAACTGGTTGGCTTCCCAACGGAAGCGAGTGAGCCTCTATTACCACCGAGAGAGCCCGTGTTTGCACGACCGAGAGAACCGCGACCGGTCGAACCTCCGATTTGACAGCCGGATTCCATCGATTGTGAACCGGAGGTGTTGTGACCTGACTGAGCGTAGCCTACATACACAGAAGTATGTATATTATAATATAATCTGTGTATCACGTTATTATAATATTAATATAATAAAAATATTATAACGTGATGCACAGATTAAGAGACAAATACCGGTGTGTATGTTGTAAGTTGTCATCGCATATATTCCGTCATTTCCGAAGCCTCCGTCATCTTGTGAGCCGGTACCACCCGAGGAGCAGCCTTGACCGCATCTCCTCCTTATTCTAAAAACGAATATATCGATTTACCAGCGATATAGCGATTTACAGTTTAAATTATCGGATTGCAGCATATGAAACTTCGGTTTTGCATGTCCACAAATGTTGGATAATTATCAAGAAAATGAAATGCACAATGAATATGTAACTGATTGAACGAATTGGCAACTGATGGAACGCGAAGAAAGAGTCATCTTCGTTTAAGATGAATACCTTCGCCACAATTTTAATGCGGTACTTTTTATGGTGCCGAAGCTCAAAGGTCCTCCGACTATTGAGCACAATTGTTCGTTGGTCTCGGCGTAGCTGGTTGTCAATGGGGACACGTAAATCGGATATCCGATTGGCTGGTCGCACGAACTGTTGATTATGTTTCTTAACGCTTGTTTAGCGTTCTGTATTGAACCGCGCTCCGGATTTCTGTTTCTCAAATACACCAGTTCTTGCTGCTGGCCGGCCCACAGTCCGCGTACGCATTCGCGATTCATTTTAATCACTCGAAAGCTTAGATAACGTTTGTTAAGCATTATCACCTTGTACTCATCTATACCGTCGTCTAGTACGTGTCTGAAAAATTATACACATTCAAATAAATTGCGTGAATCGCAATGCTACGCACTCGTGATCGATTTGGCGAATAATTGCTCCGCAAGGATTTAAATTTCTTAGAGTACAAACCTGAGCGCCAATAAACTAGGTGCACCGCTCAACACAGCATTTCTCCAAAGTGGATCCGCTTCGTGACTAATGACGAGATTCTTATCGTGACTGTCGATTGCCTCGAAAAGCGCCGATGATTCCACGTATTGTTCCGGGCTCATAAAATGGTCCTGATGCAGTTTCAACGCCATTCTCACACCCTTTGCAACTACGCTGCGCAATAGGTCGACATCGTGCAACACCCATTCATCGCGGTCTGATGTTATGCGGAAATCTCCTATTATCGACCACAGTTACATTAATTTATACACGTGGGATGTATTAATAATTTGAGGCTAAAATAAATCATTTTATGAAGAGCTTTTGTGTCGAAAGATAGATGTATAACTATTAGAGTTTCGCTAAAAGCTAATTTACTTTAAATTCAAAGAAGAACGTTGTGACAAGATTGACTGATTTAAAACGATGACACGTATCTACATACACTGTATGTTACATTATTAAAAAATTATGAATAATGAATTTTATTTGAATATAGTATGCCTCAATTATTATCTCTGTATTAGTTACTACTTATTTTTTTAAATATGTTAATATATATAATTGACATAATATAATCGTTGTATACCGATACTGCCGGGGAAAAAAAGAGGTAGGAAGTATCTTTAAATACCTTTAAACAATGCATGTAACCCATAAAGAAAAAATTCGACACTCGATACGGTGTTGTGAGACGCAACACCCAATGCACGTCTTCCCAATAGGCTTAAAGACAGACACAGAGATACGAGATATGAATCACGTGTTCTGTCCAGTGACTGGAAAATATAAAGACACCGCATAAAGTATATTTCGGGCAGATTATAGCTCCCAGAAAATAAATCATCACCTTAATACTTTAATCTTGTGAACACATTAACATTCTAACTATAATTCAATCTTGTAGTCTTATGGAACGAGTTAGAGAGAATTTCTCCTCTTTTATTATTCGATGAAATAAACTAAAATCATATTTCTGAATTGCGGCTCAAAATTATTGGAATCGCTGACAAGTACCAGGGTCATTCAAATATAAACCGGATTTTTTATCTGCGGACTCAGAAGGAACCGCAAGCGGGCCAAGGCGCTCCAGGCAGTTAGGTAGAGATGTGCGGAGGGGAGCGACCCCCCGCAACATTCCTCAGTTGCTGTTCCCTCGTCAGTAGCACCACGACTGAACAAGAGGTACTTACGACTGTTGCGTAACGCATTATCATCCGATTTCTCGCTAACGAAGGCGTCAAACCAACTGAAATTTTGATCAGACTCCAAGCACAGTTTGGAGATGGTACTCTGTCAAGAACCCAAGTGTTTGATTGGGCCAAAAAATTTCGCAGTGGTCGTAATACTGTGGAGAACGAAAGTCACGAACGTCGTCCGCGATCGAGTGTCACTGATGAGAACATTCAGGCCGTTCGCGAACTTGTGGAAGATGACCGGCGCTTAACTGTTGTCGAAATCTCATCGGAGATGGGCATAAGTGTATTGGGAATGCTCACACAATTCTCTCAGAATATCTTGGATACCATAAGGTGTCAGCGAGGTAGGTCCCACGTCTCCTCACTGATAAACTCGGAGAAATGTACCGGACACCTCTTGAACACTCTCCTTACAGTCCCGATTTATCCCCATGTGACTTTCACATGTTTGGACCCCTGAAGGAGGCTTTAGGAGGGGAAAGATTTAACGACGACGCAGCGGTTGAGCAGTACGTGCGCAATTGGCTGTTGGAGCGCCCTTCTTTTCTTTTTTATGAAGGGATCAAGAAGCTACCTATCCGGTGGAGAAAATGCATTTCCGTTGAAGAGAACTATGTAGAAAAATAATATATCGCTTTTGTAATTTCACCTGTTACCAATAAATCTGTAAAAAAAAATCCGGTTTATATTTAAATACCTCTCGTACATTGTGTATCTTTCGTCAAACATCCTAGGTTTTATTACTGTAGTATAGTAATAAGGTGATGAAATAATGTAAATGTCACAATGTATCACCTTATCGTGTTTACCAGCGCAATATTGTATCCAGTCGAGGTAAACATTGCAGAAACTGCTACGCGTAATGCCACTCGCGCGGAAATCGAAATCCTCGTCAATGTTCATATTAAAAACGGGATCGAGATCGATGAAGTTTTTCTCGAGCGTCAGCTTCAGTGAATCAGCAATGTCTTGATTCTCCAACCAGTGTTTCAATTTAGGAGACCTCACGGTGTAGAAAACGATACTCTTGACGTAATAAGTAACTAACACCTTACGAAATTCGAACACCTGCAGCATTGAACCTGCCGAGTTGTCGGAGATAGAGTAACCCTCAAGCACGTACTTGGCGCTCGCTACTTCCCAAGCGAGCCAACGTTGACTGAAGGCTGCGTTTACGCTAAGTACATTCGACAAATGCCCCATTTCGCAGCAGCAACAGTTGTCGTTATCCTCGATACCTTCAGAAATCGCTTCCACCTGAGAAGATAAACATGGGAGGAGGAGGGTAGTCTCCTTAGCTAATTTATATTTTTATACTCGCGAAATATTAGACGAGAAAAAGGGAATGGAGAATATAATCGAATAGCTGCCATGCTTACTTCTCTCTGTTGACAATACGTTCCTCGAAATTCGAGACCTCTCAGTTGAAACGTCACCAGGCCATTGCCCAACTGAATAATGTGAACCAAACAGTTCAGATAATCGGACGCGAGCAAGAAGCAATCGCCTTGCTCGACGTTTCCCCACCGGCCGAGCGCGAGGTCACCGTAGAGGCTGTGCTGGAGGGACCTGGTTAGTTGCTCGTAGAATATCGAGTTGAGATTGTTGTCATCGGCGCCGAGATTACGATCCAAATGTGAGGACATACGTGTGTTCGAATGATCCACCCGCCTGGTCTTGTAGTCTCTTTCCCAGAACTTGACCGGTCGTACATAAGACGAGATAAAGATTGCACTGCCCAGCAACGGGTTCAATGGTGTGCTCAGCATCGCTGAGATACCGGCCTGCAGGAAGAGCATCGCAGAATGCGGCACAGAGAAGGGCTGTGCAAACGCGTGGAAGGCGCTGCCCCATGTAATTTGCCAAGGTGCTATATACGTGACGACGAAGCGGATCTTCAGCAGCAGCTCGTGGATCTTGGCGAATGCGATCCCAGTGACGAAATAATCCATTAGGAAGGTTTCGCTCAGACCGCGGATGTCCCGTTGGAAAAAAAGCACCGCGAAGACCAAGACGAGATAACGAGTGGACGGGTCTGAGTACGCGGATCTGAGTGACTTGAGGCCGCACATGACGACGATGAGGGCGCCGACGCTTTCGCCGAACTTCTCGACGATCTGCGGCGTGCATTCAGTGAGTGCGCCCAGAAAGACCACCGGGTACAGTACGTTACGCTCGAGAAAGCACAGGCACACGTAGGCCTTCTCGAACCACATAATCTTTACCGGTTCGCGCACCTCGAACTGAGCATGTTCATGGCTACGTAGAACGGGTCTCGACAGGCACAGCCACGGCAGTTGTTTGCGTAGCTGCGGCATGATGTAGTGCAAAAGGAAGCCTAAGCAGCCTGCGATGCCCCACAATATTGGGTTGAGCTCCGGCTGTAGGGCGGTGAACACTGTCGAGCAGTGGACACCGAAGGTCAGAATGCCAATTACGGCGCATACAATCAGATCGTTCTTCAGCCTGGCGTTCACCGTTGACCGCAGCTTCTCGGGTAACGGGTCCACCAGTTCGGTGTCCGACATCTGCTTGCCCACCTCGATCTTCACGTCCCTGTTCCTACCGGACGCCTTGATCTTCGCCTCCTTGTAACTCGCGACGATATTGTAGCGCTGCGGCGACGACGATGACGTGTTCTCAATGATCTTCGCCTCCTTCTCCTCCACGTAGTTGTCCACAGGCGGCCACAAGTTGGCCTTCAAGATGTCCCATATCACGGTAGGATCGGAAGACGAGCGACTCAGGTGGTAGGACACAGCCACAAGTAAACCGACAAATATGGAAAATAGAATATGCTGCGAGGACTTGGGCTCGTTCACGGCGCCGTACGCGAATCCGTAGAGGATAAAAACGGTCAACACGCTACGACAGAGGCAATACAACGACGACACCAGACTGGTCGTCGCGTTGCCGCCGAACAGATGTATGTCCAGATGCTCGCACACGTACATAAGGAACGTGTTGATCTGCGGGAACAGCCCTAAGGAGAACACAATCGGGAAGCACAGCAGGAATATCAGCAGTACGTTACGCGCCTGCATTATAAGATCGTAATCGGCGACGCGTAGTCCGTACACTCTGAAATCGGAGAACTTCTCCAAATTCCTCAATGTCTCGTTGAGTATTAGAATCAGACCCGAGCATAAGATATAGTACACCGGTCTGGAGAACACGATAATGCGATTAAAGCCATGCGTCGGCGAGGCGGCGTCGGGTTGCACCGACTTGAGCAGCGAATATTGACAGCCGGCCGTGACGAAGCAGAAGATGAACGCGAAGATATCGCGGTAGAAACCCTGCTGGAGCAGCAGCAGGCTCAGTCCGGCCACCGCTGCCGCCAAGAGCGTGGACACGACAGTCTCGAAGACTGTCAGGTTGCGATCGAGCAGCGCCAACAGAGCCAGGCGATCGAAGCGCACCTTCACGTGCGGCAGTCTACCGATCTTCCACTTGTAATAGTGCCTGGTCTGCTTACGCTTCGGCGGCGTGTCGATGCCATCCAGACCCTCGACGAAGCGATTCCACGAGAGACTAGTGTTGATGTCGGGCTCTTGGTGCGAGGGCAACGTCAGCACGGGCATGCGGCCGCCGTTAGTCTCCGAGGACGGGTGGTGGTACGCGTTAAGGTTCAAATTACCCAACAGATTCTGCAGCCGGCGGTTCCTGTCGGCCATCGAGTCCGACCGCGCGATGGACAGCGTGTGATGAAATTGCTCACGTTCCGAGTTCTCCAGCGTGCACTGATTCGAGCTACCGGTATTCGAGGAGATCAGATTGGACGGTGGCGAACTCTGTGTCTTGGTCTGATTGCTCGCCGGACTCGACAATACCGGTGGTGTGTCGATTATCACCGTGAGACCGGCAGAATTCAGCGACAAGCTGCTGTAGCTGTTGCTGAGGGAATCCGCTAGTTCCCAGTTGGTGTCGTAATGCAGATTCTGGTTGAGTTGCTGACGCAGCAGGATGTTGAGCAGCTTCTCGCTGTGATTGCTCGGTAGCTGCGTAGCCGCGGCGATGTCCGAAGCTTTTTCGTCAAATGTGTAAGCCAGCCAGCAACCGTTATCGTCGCGGAAATAATGCACCGCGCCCTCGGACGTGTCGTTGTGATTAGTAGCGAGGTGGCACTCCCCGGTGGAGATGAGACCGAATAGCGCGGTCAATGGCACTACGTTGTCGTCGCGAGCACCTATGCCGCGCGGACCGCCACGTTGACCTCGAAACGGCCGTTTCAGTCGGCCGTATCTCGTCCGAAAGTTGCGATTGTCCGAGCTGCGGGTGAGCCGTCGTTCGCACGTATTGCTCGACTGGCCGGGTAGGTCCCGCTCGGAGTTGAGCAACGCGGCCAGCAACGGAGGCGCCGGACTTGGCAGTAATGTACTCAGTTCGTTGTTCGAACCGCTGGTTTGCTCGAACTTGCTGTTGCTGCTATTGCTACCACCACCAGCACCACCACCACTGCAACCACTGCCACCGCCACCGCCACCGCCACCGCCACCGCCACTGCCACTGCCACTGCCACTGCTACCGCCACCGCCACCGCTACCGCTACTGCCACTACCACCACCACCACCACCGCCACCGCCACCGCCGCCACCGCTGCTGCTAGCACCTCCGCCGCTACCGTTCCCGCTACCACCGCCGTTGCCGCTGCTACCACTGCTACCGCTACCGCCACCGCCACCGCCGCCGCCACCGCCGCCGCCACCGCCGCCGCCGTTGCTGCCGCCACCTCCTCCTCGTCGCTTAGCCTTCTCCCGTCGCACTTCTAAGTAACGCTTGAGATTCTCCCGCTGCGGCTGCTCCGCACTCGCGATGCTGTCGTCTGCGGTGTCCGGTAATACAGCTTTTGGACGGCTCTGCTTGGGAATCGCTCCTTGATGACGCTTATTAGCGACATTGTCCGTCTCCAACTGTGGCAATAATTTTCGCTTCACTTCGTTCTCCATGCTGAGGGTCGTTGTGCTGGATGATCCTGAGTCAGGTTCCTTCGTGTGGAGATCTACGCAAATCAACGTATGACCGTGTGCTTTTAATTTATCGACCATGTCATTCGTAGGCGGTATTAGAGGAACAGTCGAGTTGACTCTGAACGTTACTGGTCTACGGTGAAAACCGTGAGGAGTCAATTTTATCCATATCATTGAAAATCATGCGTGGAACACTGAGTTTATCACTCATATACTCATATCCACTCATTCGCGTATGAATAAAAGCGGATTGCAATTTCAACAGCGAGCTTATGAGCCTAACAGTCATCTCCCGGACGCGTAATTATACACCCTAACTTTATAGTGCGTCCAACTTACAATCCGTACTAGCCGTCTGTAGGCTTTCTGATGTATCCGTATCATCAGAGCGTGCAAAAGTCCAAAATACTGGCAGCACGAATTAGAAAAATATGACAGTATGTATAAGCTTGCATACAGCGAGACATAACTTGACCAGAAGATTCTTTTACATTTGCTTGAGAGGAACGTTTCCGTAACGCTAAACTTACTCTTACTCGTCCAAGGCTCCACCGCACAATCGCTGCTCTCAAACAACCAATCGATTCCAACCATGCTGCCCAAAGATAATGGATCTTCTGTGTTTTTGGATTTGCTTGGTCGCTTCTCCTTATTCTTCTTCTCACTGTCCGAAAATTCGTGGCTACTCTGGCTGGCGTTACTGTATCTTCTTTTGACTGTGGGCTTTGACTCCTCGAGCAATGCATCTCGCGAATTCGCCGAGTTATTATCTATTCCATTGTCATCGTTAAAGCTAAGAAATGACATTAACATCGATGAAATCGTATTTCATTGATCAATGCTTTTAATTAAAAAAACATTAAGATTATATTTAACGTGCATCATTCGAAGATACCTCGAGAAATTATCTTCGAATCCACCAGCGCTGAAACTTCTGTCTCGATTAGACGTTGCGTTCACGTCGCTCATATTTTTTCGTGTGAGTAACGGGCTGTACGAGTCTCGCAGACTAAATCCTCCTGAACTTTCATTGGCAAACTGTTCATCGCTCTGTTCCGCTATTGGATGAACTATTTCAGATCCATAACTAAGATATGGTAAGAGCTGTAGTTGGTTTCTCTTCAATGTATTTTGCGGTAAGACCTTCAACGTTTATTTTTATTCATATTGTGAATGTACAATTTACAAAATATTGATATTAAAAGAAAGAAAAAATTGTTTTTTTTCCTATTCCATACCTTTTTGGTATTGATCGTTTCGAGACTTTGCGGGTGAAGAGGCAGGTTATTGTCGTCGGTATTGTTTATATTTTTACTAGTAGCACCAATTGTTTCGAGGCTTTGTGGATGTATAAGTTGTTGATGCGGTTTCTTGGTAATAACCTGAAGATTAGGAGTACATTTTTATTAAGCACTAATAATAAACAGGATCGTTTATTATTAGTGTTGGTTTGCTAATATTTCACGCGTTATTTACGTTCAATTATTATTCGATCGCGATTTGCAGACAGTTAGAAATTTACCTCCAACGATTGCGGATGAGATGAAATTTTATTGTTGTCCGCGTCTGCCTTTTTTGATATGAGTTCCAAACTTTGTGGATGATCATTTATTAGATGCGTTTCCATTGGTATGGAATTGGAATTGAGTCTGCGGACGCTTTGGTTGGACTTCCAGTAGGGATAGTCGTCGCCGGGATGCTCCAATTCCAATGAACTGGTCTGTTTTATTTGGCTCTCAGATCCCGTTTTACCTAGACTACTTTGTTTAGAGTGTCGATTTCTCGAATCTTCGGATGCATGCCGACACAATTTACGAGGTCCCGGTCGATCTTCTTCAGCGATTACTACGCATTTTTGCCGCTTCAATCTCCATTCTACATACAAGAATATCGACATCACATACATCAAGATGCTGAATGTGTATAAAGCAGATTTTTTATGTCTATTCACATTAATATTCAATTACCATTTATAATATTCTTAAAACGTGGCTCATGGTACTGTGCAGAAACCAATTCAGCCTCGTGCACGTTTATGCTAGTTACTATTGGTTTATTAAGCTGTTGTGCCTCCTCTGAGCTTTCTGAGCTGTTCTTTCTATGTATTTCTACTTTTAAATCTATGGTCGAGCTAGGCTTATCTCGATTGTATTCAGATGTTATACTATCAGCATCAGCATTCTGTATATTTGTTTCTATGAATGAGTTACGTGATGAACATTCCACAGGTGGTGTGTCTGTTTTACCTAAAAGCAAGATTATAAAAAATACACAATAAAAATTTAGTATTCAGTTTCTTTTCTACATGATATGAATATATTTTAATTTGTTTCAATGAAAGCATGAAATAAACGTAAGAAGATAGAAATTAGGAGAAATATGTAGAAAAAATATTTATATTAAAATTGCATTAGTTTGTTAATTAGAATTATGTTAAAATAATATAGTGTTGTTTCCTCTTCACAATTGTACTTCCATAAAAGAGTAACATCACTCTATTGTTAACTTGAGCTACTTTTGAATCTCCTGTATGTTATATACCATTTAAAACTTGTAACTCTATGCCATGGCTTGTTTGATCTTGTGACTGTTCTCTGGTTTTATTATGCACTGCACGTTTTTTCTCACTCTCAGACTTTTGTTGGCTGATGGTTTGTCCTGGTTCCTCCAAACACTCAGTTGTATCATACACACAGTGTAAAGCGTGATTCACACACTTTATCGTTCCAAATACAGCAACAAACGACGAGCAATACACCAGCCAAACATATAATGTGGGAGGAAAATACTAAAATGTGAAATTATCCTTAATTAACATGTTCAGTCTTGTCAACAAACATAGGCCAATTAACAAGGTATCTTGTTAGGAAGCAACAAGAAATTCTAATGTATCTTGGATAACAGTAGCTCTTGCCTTAGCTGATCCTTTTGAGAGTGACATAAATCAAATACTATGCAAAACAAAAATCACGGATCGAACCATAAAATAAATCAGGTGCAACCAGAAATTGGTCCAACAGGTATCAGTTTCAACGGATTTACATAATTTGCGAAAACCGACTTACGCAACTCTCAAAATAAACAGTGCGGCCAGTAAACGAGCGAACGTGGACTAGCGAAATATGTCGTGGCGCTTTCTATGTACCAGATAAATCGTGAATGGCAGACAAAGTAGAAACAGCCAGACGTAAAGGTGGAAGGTGTTGGAGAACGCATCGAGATGCGGATCGTAGAACCAACCGCCCGTCAGGCTCGCCCAGACACCTTGCCTCAGGATCTCCAGCGTTTGCGAACCCATTCCAGTAGCCGAGGAAGCGCTGCCTCACCATCTTCTTTCCATCATTCTCGTCCTTGACGGCCAACGATAAAATGCTGTTCGCTGCTCACGCTCGAGATCGTAACTAAGCCTTCGGCAGCAACCAGTAGGCGTACGGAGAACTGCGAGCTCACCGTGCATCTTATTTCACGTCCCTGTTAATCGATGGACTTAACGCTTACACGATTCGGCCAGAGCACCGACGAGACACTAATAAAGACCGTTGGTCTTACGGGATTTAGAGTACCCATTGAATAAAGAATACCAGGAAGGAGCATGTGAGAGAAAATGCTTTGTTAATGATGCGACGGAAATGAAGTCTGAAACTAAACCAATTTCGACTATCGATATAATCGAATTGGTCCAGTCGAAGCAAGTTTATATATGTCGATTATCGAATTACTTACTGTTACAATTTATAGTGAAAAAACGGTGCGAAAGCTACGTGCGAAAAAAATATATTGAAAATAATTGAAAATATTGAGAATAAAATAATAATGGTCAGTTGTTGCTTATGCGGGTTTTCTAAAACAAAAGGACGTACGGAAACATTTCACAGGTAAGTATATATTTTATGTAAAATAATTGAATCGATTTTAAAGAACAAATATAGGTTAATTTGATTCTAGCATATATATGATAGCAATAATTAATAAAATATTTAATTTATAACTGTTGGAGATATTTTAAACTACGATTGGATTATTCTCGTATATTTAGAGGGATAATCGAATGACAATATAGATAATTGTGAACAGTTGTAAAATAAACATTATGCTAAACATGGTCATTGTAGTATGTCATATTACTGTAATGTAAAATTATATCATCAAATATATGTATACATATAAAATAGTATTTATAATTGAGTAAGTTATTTATAATTAAGTATAAATAATTGACCAAATAGTGATATATTTAAAATTATTATTATTATGTAATATAGTTTTCCAACACGTCCATGGCAACGACAAAAATGGATAGAATTTATGAACATACCAAATTGGCAACCATTGAAAAATAATAAATTATGTTCAAAGCATTTTACTCCTGATTGCTTTGATACATCGGGAAAAATTACTCGATTAAATAACACGGCTGTCCCAACTATTAAATTTGGAAGAATAAAACATGTATGTAACCACAAACATTATATTGCAACAATAATTAACATCATACATATGTATGTGTGAATTAATTCATTAATTAATATTATTTTATAGCAATACTTTATATTATCAACAGAAAATAGTACAATAAATAATACAGAAGAGGTAATACCTTCCGAAATATCTGTTACCTCTAAAATTTCTGTACCACAAATAATGGTAAGTTTAATATAGAAATATCTACTATACACATATGCGCACACACATACGTACATAATGCCTCACATGAGAACATAAATAATAAAAAAATAATAAAATATTTATGTAGAAAGTGAATACTATTAATGTCAAAGATAAGGAATCGATTTTTACCCAAATATCTGCATTGCAAGCGGACAGATCAAGTACACTTTCACGAGAGAAAAGGAAGAAAAACTCTGCCTTGAGTTATTATCCAGCACAAAATGATACTCCAAGAAAAAGTATTCTGAAAAGGAAAATTCTAGAAATGGCAACAAATGAACAATTACTCCTGAAACATATAAGAAAATTACAGAAAGTGATGTATCGGCAGAAACAACAGATACAAAATTTGACATCAGTTATACAAAAATTATACAATAATAGTATGATTACTTATAATGCCAAAGAAGTATTGTAAAATCATTTTAGTAGTAACAGGAATTTATTCTTGAATATTTTAATAGTACAAAAGTGCAATACATGCAAATAACCAAAGTTGTGTTGAATATTTTATATATTAATCCTATTTAAAGGACAATAAATTGTTATATATACGTGTGTGTATGTGTGTAATTAATTTTTTTTCATCCCATATCAAACAACCTGCAGCTTCTGCAATGGAAAAAATAGTAAATGTCAAATATTTTTTCATTAACTTTATCAAATAAATTTATCAAGTGCTTGCAAAAATACTTCATAGATAATCAGTGAACACCATACTTTACCAGTGATTTTTTCTATTTCAGCTTTTAAAATGATAGAAAATAGATACAAGTAAACAATTCTTTCTTTTATGTAAAGGATATAATTTACAATTACACATTAAAAGTGAGAGAAATATGACATAACGAAAAAAATGTTATTGTTTTAGTAGTAATTGTTTTAGCTGAGTTACTGAGAATATTTTCCTTTTTAACAAATTTAATTAATAATATATACAACGATTTCTCTACAATTTGCAGTCAAAATTCAAGTGCTATTCATCACATTTGTATTTTATGTTTTGAAAAGGGTACTTTTATTTCCTTTTATCATATTTATTAACGAAAACAAAAAAATATGTTTTCTATTCTCTTGAAAGCAGTATTTCTTTGTTATGTATCTTCAACACATTTGAACTATACCATCAGAAGTATATTTCCGGTGATGTCATAAACTGAACCAATTTCGACTTTCGATTCCTCACGATATATCGCACTCTGCACTTCCTAGTATTCTTTATTCAATGAGAGTATCAGCAGAGAGTACATCGGCCTGTTTTCTGTATTAATAGTTTTTGATATCTTCCGATACATACATACATATTTTGAAACATTTTCTTTGGATATTATATCAAACGGATTTTGCGTGTCACGTAATATCCTTCGGACTACACGGACATTATTATTTTGATCATTTTGATTTCTTTGATATTCATTAAGAATTATTCAGAACTCAACTGCCATATTGAACGACTCAATTGACGTGTCAAATGTTTCGATTCTCACAAATTCATAAAAAATTTTTCATGTTTTACTAATTCACAGAAGTCTTTCACTTTTCATTAGTTCACGCTAGGGAAAAGATTCATGATCGCTGCCCTGAGCAATTGCAACGCTTCACCAATCATCTATATCGGCGCGCTCCTACTCCTCAGATTTCTGTCATTAATAATTCGATAATTATTGCGAATCTCGCAAAATGGTATGGGACTTTTATGTTTGTCTCAACCCGATCTACCCTCACACTTCGGGTTGGCAGCTAATTACCGGACTTCGTATGATCTTTATGATATTAATCATACACAATGTCAATTTTTTTTGCACATGTTAACATATTAATTCATGTTATAAACACGTAACAATATGCGAAACCGTGCTTGTCAAGTACGTTATTATGATTGTAGCACGGACATAAACCGCCTGAAAATAGATGTAGCACGGACTACCAGTACATGCAGGTTTTACCGCCGAAACCTAAAAGTGGATGTAGCATCGTAGTTCCCCTCTCGAAATTGATACAGATAGCGCCCTTTCCCAGTGCGAAAAGTCGATGTCGCCGAAAACGCCGTGTTGGCCGCTCTCAGGTTCCTCTCTGAGGAATCACTGAGTACTAACACCCTCTTAGGAATATCGTGGTTGGAATGTGAAGCTGTATTATCCACATCCATTACCATTTGTTTATTTCGAGCTACAGTTTCATATTCCAGCCACAATATTCCTAAGAGGGCGTTAGCGCTTAGCGATATTTAGAGACCCTAAGGCCGGGTTTACAATAGGTATAGTAAGCTTTAAGCCTTAAGAAATTAATCAATCCTAGTCGATTTTTACAAGAATAATCGAATAGGGTTAGCCAATTTCTTAAGGCTTTAAGCTTACACCTATTGTAGGCCTGGCCTTAAAGAGAGTCTGGACATTGGCCTGAAATGGCCGACTCAGTGTGTTCTTTTTAGCTTGCACAATGGTGCAATAAGTACCAGTTCAGTAATGCAGTCAAAAAGAATAGATCTTGTATTTATCGTTAAACCAAAGAAAGAACGAACTGGGAAAGAAAGAACTGATCTGTCTGTTTCATTGATATTATTTATATATTAATGTATGATAAATAAAGGTATGTAACATTAAAAATGAGGAAAATAATTTTTTGTGCTTAATAATAGAATTACAATATTGCGAATATTTTTCCTCTCTAACATTGCGCCAGTTCGTCCCCTGATAGCACATATTCTTTTGGGGACGTCCTAAGGATGTCCTGAGGATGAAGAAACATCCCCAGGACATCCTCAAGACTTAGGGCCAGAGCACAGACTTCTGCATAACGCATAATATACAACGCATAAGAGAATCAACCAATCAAAGTTCTTTATTTCTATCTTGAGGAGGGAAATGAAGAAAACTAATTGGTTTATTCTCTTATGCATTATGTATTATGTGTTATGCAAAAGCCTGTGCTCTTGCCCGTACTCTGGACATCTGTGCTATCAGGATCGTTATTTGCAATCTCTCGAAGAACATTAAGATCGTTCATATTACATTTGTTATATTACCTTCCTTTTATCGAAAAAAGTGTCTCTAAAAGTGACTTGTAGCCAATTAGAAACTTTATAAGCCACTTTTACAGGCATTTTATCAATTAAATTAAGTTCAGAGTATGGACCCATATCTTTTCCTCTGTAGTAAATTCATGAAAAATATAACGTTTTATTGATAAATATTGAATTCGTTTATGAAACTTTTTACTTTTCATGTATTTATGCTAAATAAAGTAATAAACGACGCTATCCAGGGGACACATTACTTGACATTTGTTTCAGCGATACTATTATTATCAAATCAGAAGTACAATGGGTGCGTTCACGACACTCAACAGTTGCGCAACTATTGAGTAATTCGTCAACGTTATTGGTCTGAATGTAAGAATCTAATAGTAAGGACCAATAGTCACTAATCGCTCACTGAGCGGTTTTCTCCGTTGAACGCACCCATTTTAATCCAAATTATCTTCCCATTCGCGCTAAGTAACCAAAGTTTCCTATTGGCGCCGCCATTTTCGGGCTACCAGTCACGTGAACTAATCACGCCGAAGCCAGTTGTGTCCAGACTCTCTTTAAAGGTCTTTAGCGAGATTTCTCTCTAGTACTCTAAATCCTGTGACTAATGGTTTTTATTAGTATCTCGTCAATGCAAATGATATCAAATCTTTTCGATTTTTCGATACTACCTAATTCCATGATCATAAATATTTACTCAAGATCGGAGACTAACAGTACACATAACTTAATTAATCGCCTCTCATATTTATATAACTTTTAAAAAACTTTTTATACGTACCAATCAACAGTCCTGAATATAAATATTTAAATATGTAGGTACATATAAATACATTCGACTTAAAAATGTCTAAACAAAATCTAACTGGTACTCTCTCAAGTTTACTTATAGAATATCCATAGACGTGCAGATGCTCCCTACTGGATGAAAACATTGTATTTATCAAATAATACTAAGAAATATAAAATATTTTGATATTTATTATTGACATAATTTTTATTTACAAATTAAAAGTTTGAAATAATTCAGCATGATTACTATGTTTTAGAAACATTTACAATATATAATAACTGAATATATATCTTTTTGATATGTTTAGAATGATGGAATGTACTGCAGAGTTTCATGCAGACTTATATAGCAGATATTTAGAAGATTGGTTTAACATCCATTATGTACTTTGTATTACTGATGAAAGTCTTTATATACAATGCACGATAAGAATACATGTGCAATAGACATATATAGAATCTGAAACAGGCAAATAAAATTTGTTCTCATATATATCTGAACAACAGATATTTATATTACTTTAAAAAAAACAGCCTTTATAGATTATTAATGTTTCCATTGGTAATTTTGAGAAAATACTGTCATCACACATACTGAGAAAATCAGAAATATACATTATATATAATCTATACATATAAGCTACGATAAATATGTGTGTATATGTATGGTATGGATGTGACTTTGTATGTACACTTTCATAATTTTAAATAAATATCTTGATAAATAGCTCAGTTAGACATTATACTATACTAATTAATTTATAACACATGAGAAACTTTAGATATAAACATCATGTATCATATCAATGATTACTTTAATTTTATAGTCCTTCGCCATATGTTATCAGCCATGACCTCTCATAAAAGACCGCAGATCTATTCTCCAATCATAACTTCTGCATTCGTAACAGCTTGGAATTACCTGTCTCTTGTCGCGAAAGCACGGCATTTAACGATCAACGATCAACGTCGATCGCGATGGATATTCTCGCAATCTGAAAGCAAAGGACGCAGTAAAACATTAAACCGTCCCAGAAAATTAACTGCGCATAATGTGCGCTTATTTTTGCAGGATCTTACATCAACAGCACGCTTACGAAAAAAACTCCACGCTTTCAAAAAGCACTCGCTCTCACTGTCTAGCAACCCTTGCTCTCAGCGCAATGTCATCATCATTATCATCATGCTCATCCTCATCACCATATCATTTCACTTGCAATTATATTCTCCTGCAAATATATACTCTCTCTCTCTCTCTCTCTCTCTCTCTCACTCTCTCTCTCGCTCTCTCTCTCTCGCTCGCTTTCTCTCTCTCTCTCTCTCTCTCTCTCTCTCTCTCTCTCGCTCTCTCCCTTTCATATTTTCTTCAACTCTTTCAACTTTCTCTCCCCCCTCTCTCTCTCTCTCTCTCTCGCTCTCGCTCTCTCGCTCATCTTTTCACGTGCATCATTTTGCATCAACACTTCGTATCCATCCAGAGGCACGTTCACGTACGGATATCAATTCATCATGACATAATATATTCATCCACAGGCTGTTGAACAAAATCGAATGTAAGATTAGTGTCCGGTTTAAGCGAGAACTTGAATCCGGACTAACTAAAAGTACTAACATTCCAATTTGCACTTTGGCATCACGATCAGCGAGTCTTACTGTATTCCAGGAGGTGACATGATTACGAGGAAACTGAAAGATATGACTGCTGCAATGCGTACTTTTTCTATCTCACTTTCTTCTAAATGTACAAAACGGATTCATCTTTAGTAATTGTAGATAATTCGATCCGCTATCCATTTATGCCTTATTTATGACAAAAACAGATGTGAATGCGCGGAAAATATGCCTGAAATTGTACTTCTCACCAGTGATATTTATTATAAATGTTAACCGATCACATAGAATAAATACGTATATATATGTTGTGATAGATGTATTCTTGAAAATAAAAAAAAATAAGGAAATACAAGTATAATATAATTTTGTGTGCAACAAAAATTTATAAGGAAACACTAATTTCATTTGCGAAAGATTTTTTATTAGTTTCGTTCTCTGAATAGAGGATAAGGAAAGAAAAAGATCATTGATGTGATGTGTATTTGATGACAACTGGACATAACTTAACATAAAACTTTAACATATCAAAGAATGTAAAGTGCGCACTAACAAAAAATAAAGTTTGTTAAATATAATGTAAACACACGAGAAATAAGCCAATGATCATAAGAAAACTATTGTATTGTATTGTATAAGAAAAATATTGTATGTATAATATCAATACACTTGCAAATAATTTGAAGTTGATTCATATTTACTTTGATATTTCTTTCTACGCAAAAAGTTTATAATAAGCAAACATTTTTGAAAAGGGGCACACAAAATATTCGAGAGAACAACATTCTAAAGAATATCCATAACTCCAACGAAGTAAATTTTTGTTTCAACGAAAAAAATTTTACGGCAAAGAGTCTCTCGTTACGAATATATCAATGTGGCTAATAAAAGGATTCAAAAGAGAAAATATCATTAGGCTACTGAAATGTAGAAAAACGCTTTGAAGATAGCGGTAAGTCAGTATCAATGATAATTATAATTATAATTACTCTAAGCGGTTATTTGGTCGCTGGGGTGGTATATGAGGCGTTATGAAAGAGAAATATCAGTTCGTAATCACCTGTTTTGAGGATCAGCGGACGTTCCCATAGTTTTACCATAGTCTACCATTGTGATCATCTTCATTCAGTCATCATCACCCAAAAGGCCGGTTACCGATGTATCGTTACGTTACCTTTCGTACTCTCTTCGTTTTCACGATTTTACAGTTTTAAACATCGCCCTATAACCGTGCCCTTATCGCGATGTTCCTGCATGTTCCTCATAACTCTATTTTTCGCCGAGGTGTTGATAATTCATCAAAATAAGATTTAATTTTTCACACGCGAATACTGCACGAGAAATTTCGTTGAAAATTTTACGAGGATTCGCGTTTTTCGAATGAGTAAAATAAGAAAAATCTCGTATTGACTCATTTCCCTGATGTGCGCGATAATTTTGGGCAGATCTTAAATGTACTGGCTGTCCCAGAATTAACGCTAAATAAACACGGAACGTTATTCCTCGCGAAGTTTGGAGTCAACTTGTGGTGAAAGAAAGTCATCATTTCTCGTAATTTTTTCAAAATTACTCTGCACTCAAAAATCTACTTTGTAGACTTATAATGGCATATTATGTTTCATTTTCCCTTCTGAAATTTAATTTGCGAAAAGTCACTTATCTCCAGAAGCTTGATCGATACTTTGTCATTATTGTTAACGAAACTCGACTTCAAATTTCACAAGAGATAACAAACTACGTATCCATCTTTCACTAATTCTGGGATAACCACGAAGTGTGCAATTATATATTGACTCAATATTTAAAGGCACGTAAAAGGATATGTGTGATACCCACGATTTTTAGGTTTTTTTATTCTCGGCATAGTTTAACATACACTACAATCAACGGAGAACGACGTTATGTGAGTATCTTTGCACCACAGAGAATGTCTTGCGATTTCACGTCATCGATACAAATTAGAATATGTATGGATACGTTGTTTGCGATCATCAAATTAATAATTCATACCCACAAAATCTCGCGTAACACACGATACAGGTAAAAAAAAAATCCTTGATAAGTCAATTCTCATTCAGCTTCGAGTTTGTAGCTCAAAATATTTCAAAAGTGTAAAAAGAAGAAAGCCGGATTCGCGGCGGTTTCTTACTCGCGACTTCTTTCTCGCGACGCGGCTCGAAATCCCTCAACAATTGAGATCGACGGATTAAAATCAACATTCTCACATGACAATGCTTCACGACACACGTTTCAACTCAACTAATTGTCACGCACAATTTCGTTCCCTCTCTCTCTCTCTCTCTCTCTCTCTCTCTCTCTCTCTCTCTCTCTCTCTCTCTCGCGCTCTCTCTTTCTCTCTCGCTCTCTCTCTCTCTCTCTCTCTCTCTCTCTCTCTCTCTCTCTCTCTCTCTCTCTCTCTCTCTCTCTCTCTCTCTTTCCTCCCTTTCACTCTCTCTCTTTCTCTCTTCCTTTCTCTCAGAATACAATAACATATCGAGCGATTTACAAGAACGCAGCTAACTTTACAGTAAAATTCGTTACATTTCATATGAGCGATATTAAAATTGCTTTATCAATTCGTATTTACATACTTCGTAGATCACTTTCAAATCGTTTTGCAAGGCAACTGCTTTGAACAGTAAGTCCCATCGTGTGTAATCTCACTTTTACAGAATTAATTATTGAGGGATCACGAAGAGTTTATTTATGGTGTTGTGTTGTTCTCGATCGCGACCGATTAATCTGTAGTACCAATGCCAAGACGCATGCCGCAAGCATCGTTATTTCAAACGATTTGAAATGATCCGTGATCGCGATTACTGACGCACGAATGTTCAGACTGATTAACCGACTACTGTCCATCATACAGTTGTCTCGTCATCCACACTTTATTTTACTTCTCGTACAAATTATATTTTACTTCATTTCACTTCACGTATCTTGCGTATTGGAATTGCGTTCCCTGAAAATATTTCCGTATATTAATATATTAAAAGCGCGAACGTTTGTGCGTCAGCGACAAGCTAATTACGGTTCTAATATCTGTTAAAAATTGTCTTAAACTACAGCCTCTGTATATAGTGATCTAACAATTTACAGACTTAAGAAGCGCGGCAGAATGTCGATCAACGAGCTCTACACTGTTTATTCCCATTTCAAATCTGATTTAATCTTTTTTTTACATATATGCATATAAACAATCTCGGTCAAGTATATACCAAACACACATCAAACCACTTTTGCTCACTCTCAACCTAAGACTTATACAGCAATTTTCCGCTCGCATTACATTATTAATTCAGTCACTTCATATTGCTACATCTTGAGTTGTCAAGTAACACGCGTACGCTCTTGAACAAACGGCATCATCATTATTTTTACTGAGTGAAAACTTTCATGCCTGTAACTCTGAGACGACCGTTAACAAATACATTCAATCGTCATACATACAAGGACTCGTGCGTACCATCAACCACTCCAATGAGCTGACTTGAAAGTCAGAGGAATTTTTCAATTGTTTGTACATGACACATGTAACGACAAGAATCGACACTAATGAGAGAGAAAGAGTATTGTGCGAGAGAGATCTATTTTTCATAGATTGTATATTAATGAGCAACAATATTCTCGCGTCAAATAGGAAGTTTATGAAAAATTACTGTACGATAAATGAAAAGCACAACAGCACATATATCTCTTAGTATTTTTTTATTCTTTTTCAGTAGTATATACTCATAAGGTAATTAGTGTTCTGAAGAGATAGTTGATCTAAATAATTTCTTAATGCGGTATACACCAATGATGTCGTGGTGACAGATGTGGTCTTTAAGTTTAATTATGCAATGTAACTATATATTCCGTATGTTAAAGTTATTGACTATAATTGTGAAATGTGAATTGTTGCATCGTTCCTCGTCGTGTTACTAGAGACTCTTTGTTTTAAATAAATACTCTCAACGTGTAAAGCTACTTATTTCATTGTCGTTCAAGGAAACAGTTTGAGAATCTTGTCATCAAAGACACACTTCAGTACTTATAGCATATACAAGATGTCTGACACAAAATATGCCAACATTTATATACAAGTAAAGCTCATTAAATGGCAAAGTTTTTTTTAAGACTTTTTTTTAAGACTCTGAGCTCTACCTGTTCAACTCTACGAGCCCTACGAGCGTTGAGCAATGAACTCTACAAGCAGTGGCACGTCTTGCGTCAGACATCCTGTATAAAAGTGTCTTATGCGCCTATACACACACACACACACACACACACACACACACACACACACACACACACACACACACACACACACACACACACACACATACATACATACACATATATGTACGTACATACACACACATACATACCACATATATACATACATATACACATACGTACATACATACATACGTACGTACATACATACGTACATACATACATACACACGTACATACATACATATGCACACACACACACACACACACACACACACATACACACACACACACACACACACACACACACACACACACACACACAAGACACTTCTAAATCTTTTTAACTTTCTTCTTTTACACATCACTTAACTAACATAGAAAAATCTGATTAATTCAAATGCTTTCTTTCACACACAACCAATCAATAATTTTGACACACTTACACACCAGTGTAAAACACGATTCTCACATAATAAAGTACTTATGTATACACTCGAGATATATGAAACAGAAGTTTAACTCGGTAAATATCATACGTTCCGGGTAGCTGCGATCATTCTCTCAACGTCATTTGACACCTCTATACTATTCTCTATACATTCATACACTTTCAGACAATCGTATTATTCATTTTCTCATAAAATCGATTCATTAACCAGCACTCGATCAAACGGTAATCTTCAGTGAATCAAATAAAAACTACTATTGTAAAACAGAGTAAGACTATCTCCATGGGGATAGCTTTATACCACAGTTGAAGAAAATTTTCAATTTATTCAAATCTAAAAAGATAATTATTATGTAACGTGGTTTCAAAAGTCAATTATTGTTTTCGGAAAATTGTGAAAATATTACAAAATATAAAAAAAAAATTATTAATATTTTATTGTTCAGCTCATCGTAAGAATCAACTTACAATCAGCTTTTACAAATGATTCACTCTGACGCGAATCAATTACATCATATGAATTCAAGACAATGAAGAATAATAAAAATAATCCTTTCTAAGGAATCGTAGATATTAATTAATTGCACCGAAAAGAAAAAAACATCCTAAAAGAGACTGTGGTGTTTTAAGAAATCATTCAATTCAGAAGGAGAAAGTCGTATGTTCTTGTGTAGTGAAATAGGCTTTTTTTATATCAGTATTCGAAACTACACTCCTGTATAAAGATTTTAAAATTGTCAAAAACGCGACGACGAGATGTACAATTCATGCTGTACAACAAATAAACGGTTTTTACAATAATGTTAAACAATACAGCGTTACTTGATTCTATTCGACAAAATATGACAAGTCATACGACTTTGGTTTCACGATAGCGGTGTATACTGCCACATATATGTGTGCCACATTGCCCAATACACCTACCGACATCTTTAACTAATATTCAATCATATATTCTGATCTCTTCTCATATCATGGATTACATCAAATTGTATGATGCAGATAGAGCAAGAAAATTTAGTTACCCTTAGTTAACGATTAATTGAAGATACAGTTAAAAGAACTTAAAATGCCTTTTTTGACCAAGTTTAAAAAGCTATGTTTATTGGGAAGATTTGCGACGGAGAGAGACTCAAGCTGTCACTTGAGTGTTTAATACAATTTTTATGCCATATACATATAAAAACAGAAGAGCGATACTAATAATAGTTATCATTGATTCTATATATGATAATTATACTTTGTCTTAAACAAAAAAATTAATACTTTTTATATAAATGTGTATAAATTTTTTTTGCAAAGAAAAAGAAAGAAAAAAAAAGAACTCGAATATTTTATTAGTCATTTGATCATAAATTTATTGAAACTAACTCAAATCTCTCTCGATTTTAACTCTTGCTAAATATCTCTAATATGTATATCACAAATGTACCAGCCATTACACTAAGCACATACATACATATTCAGTTGTATAATCTCAGCCTTGCTGCGTGTATACACTTCATGTACAAACATTAAACTCACACATCATATCATATCGGTTAAATCATTCCATTCCAATAGGATTGTACACTCAGACAAAATCATACAAAAGATTTTACGCATGTCGAAATGATCGGAGCTATCCGTGTTTACACGCACATGCCTAACTCTTCCAACGAACGGAATTGTGCTAACTCGTCAAGAGAAGAACAGCGGGGCAGTTCGCATTTGTATTGGGGGTACTCAATATATTTGTCTATGCGCGATATGATGGAGATTAGTGCAAAATAGGATAAAAAAGAAAAGACAAGAAGAGACGTCAACGCAGTAAGGTCCGGCCCTTCTTCCCGGGAACGACGCGCTTTGTACCCTCGATGTGTTGTTGTTGCTGCTGCTGCTGTTGTTGTTTTTGCTGCTGCTGTTGTTGACCCCTGCCACCGTTGTCGTTCGTTAAGGTACGTGCGCCGGGACCCGCGGAGAAAATCCGTGTATTACGAGTAAACCCACGGCCCCGGTTGAATTTACTCGTACTTGAGAAATGTATTCGACTTCTGATCTCGTTGGCCCGGATGATTCTGCCAAGCGCCTTGAGTTGCATTCGGATTATTTGGTCCAGGGCCGCCAGTGCCTGGATTACCGGTGTTGCCATCACCGCCACCTTGATTCATCCAACTAAGAAATCCAGAGTTGCCGGAATTGCCCATACTATTGTTACCGGAAGGCGGTTGGCCTGGGGGGCCTGGCTGGTTTGAATAGCTTTGATCATTTCCCTGATTCTGCAGGTTACCAATTAAGCCCCAAGAAGCTTGATTTAAGGCAGCCATTAAGGCTGGGTTAACTGGCAAAGCGGACAGATTCAAACTGCCCATAGCCAACGGATTCGACATACCGCCGCCACCGCCGCCGCCGTTGTTCTGTCCGGTAATGCCTAAAGCCTGCAGATTTGGCATATCTAGGTTGCCGCGATTTCCAGGATTGTTCCAACCGTTTGGGCCCATATTATTACCGGAGTGACCCATGTATCGGTTTCCCTGATAATTGCCTTGTACGTTATTATCAACGGGTCCCGGCGCGCCTCTACCACGCATGTTCGAGTTTACTTGGTTATTAAAATTCTTGTTATTGCCTTCAGATTTGGGCGCGGCGTTCGACACATGTACGGAGACGCCCTTAATAATATGATCCTCGCCACATAATGACTGGGCGACTTCGGGATCTAGGAAAGTGACAAACGAAAATGCACGGAAAGGTTTCGGGATGAACACGTCCGTGACTTCGCCGAATTTGGAGAAATAGTCTCGCAGATCATCAGCGGTTAGGTCTTCTGTACAGCGGCCGACGAATACCTTGCAGGGTACTTGCTGAATCATTCCCTCCTACGCACAAACGCACAATCAATCAATCATGTACACATTTTTAAGTTGACATTTCTATCCGCGTAAAAACTTGCAGTGCAGTGCACATTACTCGCAACAACGGCGGCGGTAGAATCTCTGCGAGAATTATGAGCGCGCGCGACCTATCGCTCAGTCGTTCGTCAATTATTAAATGACATTTAAATGGCAAACGTAACATAAGTACATTATGTTTAAAACTGGTTTATATCGAAACACCGTTACGAACGTGTGTAATAATCAACTTCCTTGAACACGCAGTGCATAATCTCTCACTTTTTTCGGCTTGGGACTCTAATTTTCCGTCAATTGCAACTAATCTGCACTATAACAAGTTTTATAGAAATTTTCTCATTACATATTATTTATCCATTCGAGGTAGGATGTCGATTGGCTCGAGTTACATACGAATCTCTGTACCGTAACGGATTCTTAAGCACTATGACCTCTTAAATCCATGCATCAATCTCTGCACAGCGTCCTTTTCTTAATGTTCGATATGGTTTTCGATATAGAGAATCCCATGCTGTATATTACATTGTCTCAATTTGAATAATCAGCACGTCATGACAGAAGATACCAACAGAATTATTCCAAACTAATTATTGCTACCAATAAACAATGTACTTGTTATGTTTAACAGACATCATGAATTAATGGGAATAATATATATATATATATATATATATATATACACACACACACACATATACATATACATATATATATATATACTCACATACAACATATACATATTTTATATTAGCTCTTTCGGCTATATATGATGTATACATTTCTTTTGACAGTGTAGTCAAAATAATAAAATCAAAAATTAATATAGCAACCACAGTAAAGAGATAAAGATCTACACATTTTACATGTTACAGACGACAGACCACGCACCTATTTATCATCTTTAACATCTCGAAAGTAATTCACAATTACCGTTACATCGGTGAAAAATCTATCGTATCTAGTTAAATTTATCCAAAAGGTCAAATCAGTTAAAAGCGTAAAGCATTAATCGTCGAAATACACAATATTACACCTTTTCTTTTCTTTATATGCAAAATGTACGAAAAGTATCGATTCTCTCTTTCTTTTTCGATGAATATTTAACCAATCTATCGGTAGAAAAATATTATATATTAATAATTCGCATGTCAAACAGGAAGATTCGTTTTCGACAAACTTATACTTCGCATACGCACATATCGAGCTTTTATCTCGTTTCTAACATTCATTCAAATACAAAACTTTATACAGTCATACTTTGTACAATCTTTGTAATACTAGATCAAATTTGTAAAGGTGTCGCGATATATTCTGATTTTCAATATATATCCGTATATATTTTAATATTCATAGATGCGTGGTGCCAATCCATCGAGGAATGTGTATTGAATTTCAATTTAAAAACCAAAAAAAAAAAAAGAAAAGAAATGAAAGAAAGACCTGCCTATAAGCTCTCGTCACGGTGTGTCGCCGCGACGAGGACCGTGCACATACGTGCATAATTCAATATTCCCATTGAAACATGATTGCATTTATTTACGATAGTCACGAGCCTCATCAATATCTTGACGCGTCCGCGTGGACGTGATGATCCCTCGATGGCCGGTGTTTGTAGTAGCGATCGTAATAGTTTTCTTTAACTGGATATCGCGTCGGATCCGCGAATCTGCCGTCGACCACCTCCCGGCCATCCGGTCCGGCGGCGTAACCACGGTTGTCGACCTCGCGACTCTCCATTACGGCGTACCTACCGCCATCAGCTTCTCTGACATCAACGTATCGTCTATCCATATCGCGGCTGTCCACGTATCTACAGTCCGCTTCCGTTCGCGCATCGATCGGGATGTGTCTGTTGTCAGGATGTCTCGCGTCTGGATAACGCACCTCCATGGTGTACCGACAATCCGCCGTGCTCGCATAACGACCGTCAGTTTCGTAGTAGCCTCGTTGTTCGTATCCATAATTATACCTGCCCTTGTCAGAATATTGTTCCGGATTTTCGGCGACAGGATAAGCAGCGGCGCGTGTATCATAGCCGGCGTATCTTGGATAATCGGCGTCGGACGGAGGATACGGTGCGGAATTAGGCGTCACGGCGGCCGTGTGTGGTGCCATGTAACCGCGTGCATCGTACGATGCAGCGGCAGGCTCCTCGTAGGCAGTGTAGTTCGGCTTCTCGTAGACATATGCAGTCTGATTGCTGTTGCCGCCGCCGCCGCCGCCACTACCACTACCGCCGCCGCCGCCGCCGCTGCTACCGCCACCACCACCACCACCACCACCACCACCGCCACCACCACCTTCGTACTTGTACTTATTATCATCGTACGGATAATTCGGAGGATATGACGGGTAGTGTGTGGTTTTGTAATCGTACTCCGAGTCGTATCTAGGCGCGCTAGAAGGTGCATTGGCCTCGGACGACGAGTTTACGTTGGTATACGGCTTCGACGCCGGCACCCGACGACTACTTGGAGTGTGCACCGGTATAGGTCGGTAGCACTCATTGTGCTTACCCGTATCATACTGACGTGCCATCATTAAGCCATCAATATTCTGCAACCAGATTACACCAGCCCTCGACAATCACATACATACCAGACTTGATCGAAATGTTGAACGCACACATCATACGCACTCGCTCATCGTGACAACATATTCACGTAGCGTTAGTTTATTGGATCACTCTACATATTCTCACACTTCGTCAAAACTCCATACTGTGGTTGTGTCAGACTGTGCGGGCGAATTTCGGAACCGTTCCGATATGAACCTCGTAGATTGTGAAACGCGAGCGTAAACAATTCTCAGCGCAGAATCTAATCGCGGAATGTGAAACATACCGAAACTCGTGCCATTCATTCGCGGACTCGCTCTTCTCATTCCTAATTCCGCCATTCTACTAATATCAAACGTCGCTACGCAAAATCTTTTTTACGAGAATTCACACTTCTCAGAATCTATCACGTGTTTTGGATGTCGTAATAATATGTATGGAATCTCACAAATGTTGAAAGTATCGTTCCCGTATGACTTTCCAATCTACGCAAATTTTCAAAACCAAATGTTTCCAGGATACGCTTTTTGTATATGTATGAAAATGATCTGACATTTATATATTTCAACATACAAAATCATACCTTTATTACAATATTTGATGCGTCCAGAAAAATACGTACACGAAAACGTCCAAATATTTATCATTTAATTCGATTATACACTCAATCATTCTCTCCATATAATCATTTCTATCGGTATTCTCATTCACGCGTACTTAACACAATTTTTTGGGTATTTTCGTTTATATTAACAAAAAGAATATGCGCGGAATCTGAGTCCTTTCCTCATCATTACGATCAAAACAAAAAAATTTTTAATCATTTTTAAGAAATCTTAAGAACAATACACGACACGTTAATTGCAGTCTGCAAGGTAAGTTTAGTAAGTACGTTTCGTCATCCCCTTCTTCCCCCCCCCCCTCTCTCTCTCTCTCTCTCTCTCTCTCTCTGCTCTAATCCGATAGGTCTATTAATTATTCTCTCAAAAGATTTCATACTATTTAGTAACTCAAACATACCATATTATTTATATATCCACGCAAACACATCATTAACGTCGTTCATTCTCTCTCCCTCTCATCATCTCTCACTCTATCTCTGTCACTCTCATTCTTGTGCGCTCACATCACACTTGTATACAGAATACATTCATACATACAGTCATTTTGCATTCTTTCCATATAATTTCACCACTTATAATCTCTCACACATTCATCTATTTATACCACACCGAATACGCACCATGTACATGAACTTAATATCCAAGGAAGAGAAAATATCGACATTCTCTCGCTTAAAGCATTATATGTAAATGGAGATAGATAGAAAATTCGTAAGATATTAGTCTATCAATTTTAGCTTGTTGTCTCTCACACAACGTTCTATTATTTATTTGAAATATTTAGCAAATGCATTTACATCTGTACATATTTTCAGATACAAATACATTCAAACTGATAGTGTAGCAATTGAGATTAATAAAATGCAAATATATATATACATATGTATATATATACATATACATATATATGTATATATATATACATATGTACACATACGCACATGTATATATGTGTATTTGGATTATTTTACTCATATGTTTATTTACAAAATAAAATAAAAATTTATATAACTTTTCTATGAGATATATATATATATATATATATATATATATATATATAATTACAACCAAAACATATCATCTGGTACAATATTTAATATATCATTTTAATTTTCATGTTAGAAAATATGTACAGATTTAAGATATAATATATGTTGAATATATCATTTCAAAAACAATAAAAGTTAATTGTTTTATGACATAAGATAAAGTTTTCTCCTTATATTTTATAAAATTACTGTAATATACAGTTTGCAAGAAAGATATAATCCATAAGATAGATTTGAATATACTGTAGAAATTCATAACAATAAAAAAGAATAGATTATATTTGTCCAATCATTAATTGTTTATATAACATGATAAAAATGATGTGAAATAATTTTAATACTTATGTTTTGTACATCCCAAAATATTGTGTCCTTGTGTATCTTTGATATAGTCTTTTTAAAATCATCTTCACTGGGTGTCTTAAAATATCTCTTACTGCTTTTAAAATGATTTATTCATTTCTATATGCTTCAACATATACGACTGATTTAACGTTCTCCAAAATTTTCTTGTGTACTTGAGAAAGCAATAGAAAATAGTAAGAAAGATCATATGATCTATGGACAAGTTACATTCTTACCTTACTGTTGGGAACCTTAACGTCGCACCATCTACCATCTATCATATGACGTTGGGCCAGGCATCTTAATTGCGATTCATAACTTCCAAATCTAATAAAGCCAAATCCTTTGCTTTGTCCGGATTTTGCATCTTTCTTTACCTAAATTATCAGATTAGACTTTAACATATTAGATTAATATAATGTGCAATTCAATCAAATCCATTTAAATGTGCAATTATGAACATAACACTGTTTTTTCCAATCATTATTTCTACCTATTATATTGTTACTTGATATATATATATATATAATTATACAATATCATATAATACACATAATATAAATAATTATTTCATTAAAATTACCAAATTTTTTTAAATTGTTAAACGATTTTAAAAGATATATTTATTATACTTAACACAATACTGTTACCAATTCCCTTATCTTTAACAGATTAAGTAAAGGCTATGGATTAATAAATTCCAAAAAAATACAAAGATTAGTACTGTAAGATGCATTTCTTTGTATCTTTTTATGTTAGTTTAGAACTTAAGCACAATTTTTGGCAAACATAGATAACACTCACCTGAGCCATTAAAACTTCACCAAATTGTTCGAAATACTCGCGCAAGTTCTGTTCCGTAGTTTTCCATGGCAAACCGAGTACAATCAAGTCAGTGCAACGCAACTTCGTTTCCATTCTTTTAGTCTTAGCTGTGGAATTTTCCAAATTGTCATCAGATTTACGTTTGTTCTCTGAAAAGATATCATAGACGTTCATGTCTAACAATATGATTACTTGAAGAAAAAAAATAAAAAATAAACAGAGAAGGAAAGAAGTACAGTTTGAAACTTGCATGAATTGCACGTCATTCTTTGATATCCCTTAATGTTTCCACAGCTAATTATCATAAAAATAGTTACAAGCTATTAGAACAATCTCTTATTTAGGATTGGAACTTTTTTACTAAAAATACAAGTAGATCAAGTTACGCAATATAAGTGTTGAAGAAAATAAAGAAAAATGTGTTTTAAATTTATTGCTTTTTGCATACTCAACTTAAAATTTCCTCAAACTGATTCTGATCTACATGTATTTTTAATGCCTCATTTAACATACTCGATATCAAATGTGATACGACATATAGGGCAAATATGGAGGGGCGACTATGGAACAATCACGGAGAAACATGTCTCCTTCAAATGTAGAATAAGATCGATATATCGATACATAAAGCGGCAAATAGCTTTGATGAACGAACAACCATCGATTATACATTGTATCTTCATCAATGGAACCATATGTCTTAAAATTTATAACAATAGATTCGTGATAATATGATGGGTTACAAAAGTTTCGTACACGATCATATATCGTGATATTATAGACTTTCGTCCAATAATCTCGACTCTATAAAAGCAACCTCTGTATTTGCAACTCGCTCGTTCGCGTACAAGCGCCGCCAAGCAACGCTATCACTATAGTATAAATACTCTATTGAGAATGTGCTAGTAAGAGTATATAAATATACCTTTGGGGAATACACAGAAGTATATGGCTTTGCCCCAGCCATTCTCAGGCGGGTGTAGGCGTCCATCAACCAACCGAACTCCGCGCATTGTACGAGACTCCGGGTTCCGATATTTGAGGCCGCAGGTACCGGGAAATTGGGCAGACAGAGTAGTGAGTAAGAGTGTGGTGTCATCTTCAGTGGGCAGCTCGATAGGCTCCTCGCCTTCATCTTCGGCGACCTGGATGTATGACGACATGTTTGTCTCTCTTATTCCTTTTTTCTCTTTTAGTCGTGGAGACGGACGGACAATCGAACTCGCAAAGCAGATTAGGCGACAATTTTTTTTCTTTTTCTTTTTCTTTCTCTTTCTCTCTCTCTCTCTCTCTCACTCTCTCGCTCTCTCTGCGTCTTTCACTCTATGCGTGTACTTTTCACGTTCTCGCGCTCTCTCTCTCTCTCTCTCTCTCCCTCTCTCTCGCTCTCTCTTTCTCACACTTTTGCTCTCCCTTTCGCTCAATCCCTCTCTCTCTTCTCTCGTTTCTTTCGTTCTCAATTTTACTTTCTTCGTTTCGTATGTATCCGCGCTTACGAAAAAAAAGATATGAAGGATTTTTAATTCGCTTACTACACAACAAACACACACGCTACGGTCGCTCGCACCCAGTCACGCAACACCGCACCTCTTTCTCTCCGTTCTCTAACAACAGGGCGGCTACAACACCAGCGCCACCGGAAAGCCCCGCACCCGTTGTATCTGTAAAGTTCACTCAGTTTCGCTGCACATTATAATGAGACGAGCAGCGAGAAAATACGATTGATGTACGCGAGCAAAATCGACGATAAAAATAAAGCGATTTTCTCGTAATTATTTATAACTTCATGTGCACACACGCTCGGTCTTGATACTTATGGCGAATTACGCATATACTGTGCGTGCTACGATCGGCGCGTAGGAATACTTGGATTAAACGCGGCGCTACGTGCGCACACAGCGTTATAAATGTCTGACGCACGATATTACCTACCCTAAGACGCACGATAGACATATATATATATATATGTATATATATATAATATATCGACATATCTTTTGCTATTGTTATTATTAAAACATAATTTATTCAGCACTCTGGTACAGATCCTTTTGTAGGTGTAGGTTGATATAATATAAAATATAATTGACTAGGTTTTATAGTTTCCAATTTTATACATTATGTGTAATGTATTTGCGTAAAAACACAAGTTACAAAATTTAAGCATTATACACGATCCCAAATCTTTTCCTTTAATATGGACTTCCAAATAAAAGTCAGGAAAAAAAATTTTCCCTTCTCACAAATTAACATAAAAACTTATAGGAAATCATTGTTTGTACATCAGATATTTTTCATGTCATAGCAAAATATATTGTAAGCAAATTATATAAATTTGCATTATTGTACATTTAGAAAATTATATTATTGATTCTACTAGTTTTATAGATAGTTTATATTAATCGCACATACATACAAATATTATCTATACTATTTTATTTTTACTCTTTCCATATAGTAATACTTGTTTATTTATATGTTTATGATTTATTTTGTAGTACTTACATTCGCATAACAGTCATGTGATTCGTAATATATAATGAAATATATGATAGATATATACTTATTTAATAGGTTTTCAATAAAAATAGGATTATTCAAAATACATACATTTAACAGTACAGGATTAGTATAGAACAGCACTATACATAAAAATAAAAGTATACTTAGAATGTGTACACAAATCAAAAGTAGGTGTATTGTAAGGGTAATATACTTGAAATATTAATTAGTGCAAAAAATCGCAAAGAAATTTCAAAGAAATTAAAAAAGTAATTTTTCAATTAAATAAAATCTTGATTATATATAATGTTTAATATATATAAATGAAACTTTGTATTTTTATTACATTAGAAATTGAAATGTTGACTCTGAGTTGAAATAATCTATTTATCATTTTTCATTATAGTATGTGTCTATACAAGTAAAATAAATGAAATATGCTCTTAAATATACTTTCATGCCCGCAGAGAGACAAATTGATGGAATACATCCAAAATATGAGGATCGAGGTCTGGGGTAAAAAGCAGAGTCTCCAGAGTTGAAGAATACTTTTGTACTTGTTCTTGATGCTGTAAAAAATATGTAAATAAATTATTATATAATATATAATAGCACATGTAATATAAATAAATGTATAAGTAAATATAAAATGCGAAAGCATTAAATCTATTAAGACTTTGTACAAATACGAGTATGAGTTTATATCAATATCATCACTAAAAGATCAACATAACTCACCGATAGAAAGACTTGCTGTAATCTCCCTATAGTCCATTTATACCAATGCGTATTATAATCGATTCCATCTGTATCGCAACGTACTAAATGTTCTGAGAGAATCATTATAAACCGCTAAAGGAAGAAAAGTACATTAATATATTAAATAAAGTAATGTGGATTTTACGTATCAAAAATTTGAAAAATTTTGCACTTGAAACATACGTGTGTTACCTACTTTTTCATGACAAATAATTTATTTTTATACCTGGAATATGATAAGGAATAAATTTTTTTGGTCCCCTTGTGCTGCTTCTAACCTTTCTTCCATTCGTTCCACTACATCTTCTGATGGTCTTTCTCTATTTCTCTCTTTATTATTGTCTTCATCCTCTGAAGATGATCCTGACCTACTCTCTGCTCTTCTTAATTTCTCTCTTGCTTCTGTTAATTCCGTGCTTAACTTCATTACGTGCTTATTCATTTTACGTATTGTTAGATGTAATATTTCCCAAATATATAATCTGAAAATAAAATTCTTTCAGCTATTGCATTGCTGTCTGTTATATGCAATGTCTATTATGAAATATTTTATTTTAGAATAATTGAAATAAGTTAAAATGAACACATATATACACATGTTTTAATAAATAATATAACAAAATATACTTTGTAAACTCTGATGCCATTTCTTTGGAGAATATCCAGTTCGCAATAGCACTACATTCAATAATACCAGTTTTTAAAAATTTGTCGGTTAATACTACCATCATCTGGTAGTGATTCTTCCACAATGCATACATATTTCTCAATATACATATTTGTGCTTCTTCTGTTTCAGCAAGCACCTGAGAATTAAATTGATTTATATGGAAAACATATATACAAGAATTCATATATGTATCTAAACTGTATAATAGTGAATTTGACTTGCTTTGAAAACATGATGAAATTTAACTATAGCTGCAAAACTGTGACTGAAACTTTTGGAGCCAAGGTTCAATAAAGTCTGTACAAACACATCAATTTTTAAAGGATTAAAATTATTCGTTTCTTCATTTTCCTTAGGACCAGGCAATGTATTCAATACATTTAACACTTCTTCTGGTGTACATTTACGCCTTATAGAGACTACCAATTCATGAGCTGCGGCTGTGCCTGGAAGGGAACCTAAAATATATTAGTTATTAATCTATTTTTGAAAATATTTTTGTTAATATTTTATAAAATTTAACATTAAAATAAGTTAGAGAAATATTAACTAGTAATAACTAGTAATAAGTTAGAGAATTAAAAAAGTTATAGTTTAAATATTAATGCAAAAGAATTTGCTTGTATTTTAGATTTCTTTGAGAAAATGTTGATATTTATATTTTAAGATTTAGTATTCATAGTTGAATATAAATCAGATTGATGCAGAGAAAACAGCCAGAAAAAAACTTCCAAGTAACTGATTGAGGACAACATATTCAGGAAAAATTCTGACTTTTGCATTAATGTCAACACAAAAAAAAAACATCTTTTTTTTCCTGATCTCATATATCATATTTATTACTTCAATATTCCAGAATTTAAAACTTAAAAAACGATGTTTCTGTTCCATTGTATACTTACTAGCACCTTCAGATGTATATTTATATACGGGATCAGGAATTGCTGGAATCAAATCTGTATATGAATCTGGCATCATGTCTCGAATCCTTTGATGATACGACAATCTAAAAAAAACAGGTTTCATTTTTATACTTTTATGATTGGGTATTTTGGTAATTTCAATAATATTAGTATATGTAAGATCATATTCTAATAATATTATTTAAGGTTTCATTTCATATTCATCAGCATGCTTACCTTAGAGCTTTAAGCAGTACTTCTCGTATAAATTTTGGTCTTGGATGTTCCGGATCGCGTTGCAAGCAAGAATCCCAATCTTCCCACGACCAACGGAATTGAAAGTTGCTTAAATGATAAGCAAACCACCAAACGAAACGATCGAAAGCTGTAGCTGCCATACTATCTATACGGCGAAATAGAATTTCTGTGGCTTGCGCCAGTACCTGTGAATATAGCATATATAAATGTTATATTTCCTACTTTGATTTTATTATAATCTTAGGTGATGATACATAAAATTTGTAGATGTTATTTGTTTACTAACCTGTGGCATTGTCGAAGGTTGTAACTTACAAAGTTCAATCAAAATTGATCCATAGCAAATCTCTAAGTGCTTTGGGGCAGGTAGTCTAAACAATTCACCAAATATTACTTCAACTATACAGTAGTCTAAGGGAATTTTGGCTTTGAATGGGAAGTTTAGTAGCTGTGCAGCACTGCAAAGTAAAAAAATAATTGATATCACTATATAATTTAATAAGATAATACTGTTTTATATTTATACATCTTTTGTGTGTAATTTTTACTCCATGAATTATCTGAACTCAAAGATTAGTTTCTTTTCTCTGCATATACATATGTTACATACCAATCTTTTCTTTCAAAATAATAATTGTTAATGATCTGCCGTAAATGTTCTTCTATCAGAAATCTCTCAATAGCATGGCTTCCTGGTAATAATGGCCCTTCAGCAGGGCAATCCGTATAATCAAACATACGGAAGACAACAGTAGGTAATGGATAGGAATAAGATTCATGATGTGGAGGTGCCATTAATGGTGGTAAATTATGCTGCAATGCCTCGCACAGAATTGAATCAAACGCAAGATATGGACGAGGAATGTGCTTTTCAGCCCAATTGTCTTGTCTCAACTTGCGAACTTGTGCCCACAAACAATCCAAATATTCTTCTTGTGGATGAGGTGTATCACTGGACCAAACTCTCAATGCTGGTTGATGTTTCTTACTTCGTTTATTCAAAAATATCTCTATAGTTACCATTAAATGATCCAATTCTTGTTCTTTCTTTTCATATAATTCTCTACCAACCCATGGTAATGTTGATAAAACAGCATAAACATACCTGTAGATTATAATTTGTAAATATATCAGAGAAAGTAATACAAAAATAGCTATACATTTATTCTATATAATTTGTACAATGAGAATGTCTATAAAAATAGGAGGAATTCTTTATATACCAGTCACGTCTCACTTGTGGTACACCATCTTCATTGGCAGCATCCAACATATTGTCAAACAGTTGCATCAATGATCCACAAGACAGAACATGGCAATTTACTAAGTCAGCTAGAAATCTGAGAGAATACCTAGCAACATCCCATTTGCATACTTTCAAGGAATCCTTGAAATTTTTTACCATATAATCAACAAATTCTCCACCAAAATTGAAATTTTTTGCATTTAATAATCCAACAAGTGTGGTATAAATTGTGCATTTTTCTGGCATTTTAATGGCACAATCTGTTAAAATTCGAAGTATTTTGCTGCGGAATAAACCCAAGTCAGCTTCTAGTACAGAAGCCAGACCTTCTAAGTTACTTTCCAAAGATGATGTTGATTTTTCCCCAACTCGTAAGATGAGAGATTCAAGACGATCTTCAATTTCTTGATTCTCTGACACTCTCCTGCGTTTCTTATATACACGCTCTGAAAGAGGTATATATAATTTTATAAATGCAATAAGAGAGAGGGAGAATATAATTAAAACTTTTTCTGAGAAATTCTATATATAAAAAATAATAAAAAAGTAAATTTATATTAATAATCGTATAATCTTATTTGAACATGACAGATAGTATAAAAAATACGAAACGAAATAGTATGTCACAAAAATGGCAATGGTTCAATGAGATATTGTTGCTTACCGTAGCCCTCATCTTCGTCGTGCGTTCTTTTACGATTCATATTTTATAACATAGAAGGTACCAGGTCTCAATTTCGAAGATATTATAAATTTCGTATTTGTGGCGAAATTAATATTTCCACAATGACTATATTCTCTTTAAATCATATATCAGATGTGATCACAAAATTTCATACACATCAAATCCTAACTCCGTTACGTATATACGAACCATCAGAACAATCTGGAATAGAAATGCATTGATGCAATGAACTAATGATAGGTCAAACTGATATCTTATATATTGGCTGCGTTCCGATATTCACTGCCAGTACTGAAAATCTATAATATATGTGACATAAAGTATATATTTTCAATACTGGCAGTGAATATCGGAACGCAGCCTCGTTACAATCGTCAATGGGTGCGTTCACGACACTCAGGCCCAGTTCCACAACTTGCTTTAAACGGAGTTTAAAGCTAAACCGATAGTTAATGCCCATTTCTACCAACTTTGGTTGACTTAACCGGTTGGTTACTCCAACGGAATTGACCAGTCACATTTGTCATTAACTAGAATTATTAAGTGCGATTGGTCCATTCCGATGGAATAATCAGTCGGTTAACCACGGTTGGTAGAAACGGATATAAAAGCAATAGTATATGCGCATATACTATTGCTTTGAACCATCGGTTTAGCTTTAAACTCCGTTTAAAGCAAGTTGTGGAACTGGGCCTGAGTAATTCATCAACGTTATTCTGAGGTCAACAACGTTGGTCTGAGGGCCAATTGTTCCAACTTCGTGGTAAGTTAACTGATAGTTAAATCCTATCTCTATTTTTGTCTAAGTTGAAGGAAAAACGAAGACAAACATATGATTTAACTATCAGTTAACTTATCAAGAAATTGGAACAACCGGCCTTGAATGTAAAGGCTCGTCTACAATGGCTGTAAGAGTAAGGCTATAAGGCCCAGTTCCACAACTTGCTTTAAACTCCGTTTAAAGCAAGTTGTGGAACTGGGCCTTAGGCTGTAACGTAAGCTGTCAGCGAATGAAAATATTTAATTTCGTGTCTTGCAACCTTACAGCCTTAGGCTAATATTACATTTGTCGTACGACAATCTTTTCGAATACGTTGATTGGTTAACAAACAGAATATTTCTAGGATTGTGCTTCGCGTACGCCAATCAATGTATCCGAAAAGCTTGTTGTACGACACATGTAGGCTGCGTTCCGATATTCACTGCCAGTATTGAAAATATATACTTTATGTCACATATATTCTAGATTTTCAGTACTGCATGAATATAGGAACGCAGCCGTAATATTAGGCTGCGTTCCGTTTCACGCATCGAGCGCATTAACTGCATCCAGAACCGTTCCGTTTCAGCTAATGCGTGCATTGGTGGCGTATAGAATTCCCTAGAATTCCCCCACCTCTATCGCATTAAGCGCGCATCAGCTACTACAGCTCGGACTAAAAGCAGTGATGCGGGCATGCGCAGATTAGTATTTATAATCTTTTATATAACCCTATTTAAATACTGACAACGTGACGTGACGACTGATATATTTAACGTACCGATATTTTTTTATTTTAAATATACAGATAATCACAGATACGTACAATGGACAAAGTCGACAGAGTTGAATTCCCCGTATTAGTGGATAACGAAATGATCACTATGTTTCTCGAAAAAGAAATCGCGTTAAGAACATCGAAAGGTAAAATTGAAATTTTAAAGTTTTAGAAACAATTCGATTGTATTTTTAAATTAATGCATGTGTGTGAATATTTTTCTACAGATCAAGATTTCTTGATAAAATATAGACTCACTACTACTACTGCTACTACTGCTGCTAATTCTGTTGTCATCATTCACTAATGAAAATAAGGCTATTGTTGTCAATGTTTCGATGTCCATTGTGATCATGGTAGCATCCATTTTTCCTTTCACATCAAACGTATCAAAAGTCATTCCGTTTTCAAAAGCGCATAGACGCATGAACGAAAACGGAACGATATCAATGCGCGCAACGCATTGGTTGCGATCGATGCGCTCGATGCGTGAAACGGAACGCAGACTTAGGCCTGGTCTACAATACGTGTCGTAAGTTGCAAGCCGTAAGAATTGGCGAATCACAGTCGATTATTACAAAAATAATCGGCTATAATTGGTCAGTTCTTACGGCTTACAGCTCACAACACGTATTGTAGACCAGGCTTAAGGCTTACTCAGAAGGCTCGTCTACAATAGCTGTAAAGCTAAGACTCCATGCATGCGGTGAGCTCCGGCAAACGGTTGCGGTGACCAATCAGGAGACAGACGCATGCCGGAGCTTGCCGCAACCGGATTTGCGCCTCCCTAAACGGTTGTCTTCGTTTTTCCTTCAACTTAGACAAAAATAGAGATAGGATTTAACTATCAGTTAACTTACCACGAAGTTGGAACAATTGGCCCTCAGACCAACGTTGTTGACCTCAGAATACAGGCCTGGTTCTGGCACCAAATTAAAGTCCTCTCAAAACCCTACATTTTGCCGTAAATGGCGACTCTCTACTCCCAGTAGAAGCGGAAATACCAACGGAGAAAGGTTGGAAAACTTTAACCTTCGATATCTCCTAAACGGTTAGAGATACAGGCCTCGGTCTGGCACCAAAGTAAACTCCTCTCAAAACCCTACATTTTCGACTACATGGACGACTCTCTACTCCCAGTAGAAGCGGAGATATCAACGGAGAAAGCTTGGAAAACTTTAACCTTCGATATCTCCTAAATGGTTAGAGATACAGGCCTGGTTCTGGCACCAAATTAAAGTCCTCTCAAAACCCTACATTTTGCCGTAAATGGCGACTCTCTGCTCCCAGTAGAAGCGGAGATATCAACGGAGAAAGCTTGGAAAACTTTAACCTTCGATATCTCTTAAACGGTTAGAGATACAGGCCTGATTCTGGCACCAATTTAAAAAGAGATGCGAACCACCGACCTCAACCCCGCGAATCCAGCGTACTTCCACCAAGCCACACACTCTTTGAGAAGCTCGCTCCTTCATTTAGTACATGGAGCACTCGCGATTTTCAATCGCGACTTTCTTGCAAACGCTTCAATGCTACGCCGTATCTTTAAGTGCAATGTTAATTTGTCATGCAAATCTATCGACACAACGAGTTTAGTCGAAATCGATTGCTATTGATCATCTCGTTGGATTCACGCTGAGAGTGAAACGTTAGTCTCGGTCGTGTGTCGGGATGCACAATCTCGGTAACGTTGCGAATCAGAGTGAGATGGAGAGAACACATTCCCTCTCTCTCTCTCTTT